ATTATATAAGTTTCAAGTATAAATTCAGTAATACATCATCTGTATACTGCATTGTATATTCACCACCCCAAGTCAAATCTCCTTCCATCACCATATATTTGACCCCCTTTATCCTTATCTACCTCCCTTCCCTCCTTTTTCTCTGGTAATCACTAAACTGTTTTCTGTATCTATGTCTCGCTTGTTGTTTTCAGTTTTATATTTCACATATGAGTGAAAAGATATGGTTCTCAACTTTTTCTGTATGATTTATAATCTTAGGATTCATCCTGAGATTGTAGTCTCAGGATGCTGTCACAAATGGCAGTATTTCATCTTTTCTTATGACTGAGTAATATTCCATTGTATATATGTACCACCTCTTTATCCAGTCATCTATTGAAGGGCACTTCGGTTGTTTCAGTACCTTAGCCCTGTGAACAATGCTGCAATGAACACAGCAGACAATAGTCATCTCTAAAAGGACAAAATATTATGTTAAAAAGTATGTTTAACAAAGAATTGGTTTTATTTTTCTTCAAATAATTTTATAAAAACTTTTGTGTGTTTAATGTGTCTCCTTTAAAATAAATTGTTGCTGTTGTGGTTGTTATAGTTGTGTTAAATAGGCAGTTAACTAGTACTTTAGGAACCTCATCAATGTTGGAGAAATAATTTTTAGGTAAAAATATATTCTTCCATTTATAGACAAGGTATTATTTGTTAGGGATACAAAAAGGGACATCCATCCCAAGAGAATTTACACAAGGGAGTAAATGGTAATGTGTTTTTTAATTATTCAAAGTGATTAAGTCTCAAATCTTCACAAAAATGCTATTTCGTATTTAAAATATTTCCAGTTTCTCCCTTTGCAAGAAATTTACCCATTCTTTACAAAATGACAGTTTTTCTGACTTGTTTGTTCAATTTTTAGTGCTTTAGCATACATAATTATATTGCCACTATGGATAGGCATAAAATTAAATGAGGTATATCTCAATGAGTGTTTACCATGTCACTATTTGTACCAATAAATACATGTTTGAGAATCAAAATAAATTTAAGGTATTACAGAGATTTTATTTCTCTTGTGGGTAATCTTTCTTCAAGTACATTAAAGCTTTCATTTTATTTACAAGTTTATCTAATGATTAAATGATTTGAGAAATATGGGATGTTGCTAGCTAGTTCTAATAAAAATTGTCTTTAACTCAAGGTGATATTTGATTTTCTTTGCTCATCACGTCATTTATTATTAAATATAGTAGATGGATTTAAACCAAGAGAGACCAACATGTACATAGGTGTAAGAACAATTCACTAGCTTTATAATTTAAGAGTGACAGTTTGAGGAGATGCCACATGCACACAAATACCTCTTCTTCAGTTGTTCTCTCTCCTTTAAGATTAGATGCCTGATGTGCTCGTGAATAGAACCATTTTTATAGAACCATTTTTAATAAAGCCTCTTCAAATATAGTTATAATAAGGAAGACCAGAAGAATAACACATTGGTTCCCACTGGTGTTTTAGTATGGATTAGTAGCTCAGATTAGCCACCTGCCAATTGGTGAACTTTCTGAAAAGGGGTTGAAGAAATGTGGAGAGCATCTGCACAGGCCAAAGTTCAGGCATCAGAGTCAAGGGCCCTGGGAAGTCAAGGAAATAGCCTGAAGACGAGGTCCACTAATGATGTGTTAGTGCAAGGAGGGCTTGACACCAAGGGTGAACTTCCTCTGTTTCGTATTTTGAATCCAGCTGTTAAAAATACAGAACTTGCCCAGATTTGGATAAAATAAGTGTTCGTTGAGTTTGTACATATCCAGAAACATCCTATCTGTAGATTAGAGAAGAATATTGCAAAAAGCCCACTCTGGTTATCATTTATTCTTACACATACCTAAGCCGTAATTCTCCTATCTTCATTTAACAAATAGTTGATTGAGAAATGTGTTAATTAATGAATCTCAAGTGATACATTTAATCTAATCAACTGTGGAGAACTAAAATGGTTTAATATGAAAATCAAGAGAAAGATTGGACATAGTAAAATGAAAACTGGAATTACTACAATAACCAAGTGGTTATATTGAGCCCATGTCCATTCTGCAGCTTAAAATATTTATATAATACACATAATATACACAGATATATATCCAAAAATATAAAAGCAAATCTGATTTTCCTACTTATATTCTAATGAAACACAGTTATTATTTCAAAGTTATACATATTTTGAGAAGGACTCGTTCTTATATATAATTTCTATGCCCCTGTGCCAATCTGAATTTCATTATATATAAAAGCTCTATGCTTAAATATTGATTATGAAAAGGTCTCAGAAACTAAGCATTTTCTGACTCAAAAATCACCACACAAGTGCAGGTGATGACTGAAAAAGAAAATTAATTTGCTATTGATGTTCATATTATGGAACTGACTTGTAAAGATGTGCAGTTTGATTTTCTGGAAGATCCTAAACAAAAAAATCATCATCTCAGGTGATAATTTGTAGGTTGAGATTTCTTGGTAAACCACGTAGAGTCTGAGTTCCCATTGCCTCATCAGCAAACTAGATACCAATCCTCCATGGTTTCTCATAAGAATTAGATGTTACAATCTTGTAAAGTTACCTAGGATAATACCTAGCCTAAGCGAGGGTCTCACCATGCATTAATGTAAACCTGAATCTGACCCCTAGGCTTCATCAGCTTTCCCCTCCTCCCCCATCTATTTGGAGGGATAATACAGTGGGGCTTAGAAAAAAATAAACTGAGAAACAAAATTACAAAGTGTGCAACATTGCATTTGTTTGGTAAGAAACTAAAAGCATTTTAGAAAATCAGAAAAGACAATCTTTGTGTTCTAGTCAGGGTGAGGCCCTAAAGGAAATAACAATTACAAGTTCAAAAGGGAAAAGATTTAATTGTGAAGTGACAGATTAACAACAAAAGCATGAACTAGAATTGAAATCTGTTTCATTCTCTTGTTAGATCAGAGGTTCTTAATATTTCTGGGATCCCAGATGAAAGTGTAGATCACCAAGGGGGTAGGAAGTGAGGAAGAGAAGAATTACGACATAATCACAAAATTTGACATACAGTATTAGAGGTTTCATTGAAATCATTCTCCCTAGCCTTCACTCATGGAAATAATCTTTGTGAACCTAGACACTAGATTCAAAACCAATTAAAAACTTCTATTGCCAAATATATTTCAGATTCCAGTACCATGCACAACATACGTTATCTATTAGCTGCTCAATGAATATTATGAATCCAAATTAAACTATTTATCCTGATATTATAGATTTATCATCTCTGTTCCACTTGAAAGTTGTTTTAAAAGCTATCCCTCTGTCAGCATTAACCCATCTTTACAGACAAATGTAATTCAGTGCACATCTAAGGCCTTTCACAAATACTTCCCAATCTTGGTATTATTTTACCTGGCACCATCATGAGAAATCCCATGAAGTCATTTTTCTTGAATTACAGTCAAAAGAAACATAATCAAAACCAGACTTGAAATATATTGTATTTGATTTCTGAGGTAACTCCAAATGTTAATATTATTCTTGACTTCTGCTTCAATATAACCGTTGATTTTATTTTGGGTAATTCTTTTTTTTCCTATTGTGGATGTTATAGGCTGAAAGGAATGTATGGATTTAAAGAAAACTATCAGATTGGCTAATGTAAAGAATAGTCATTCTCTAGGAAAAAAACAGAAGGTTCAACCTATAAAATCTAAATATCAACATTTAGGAGGTTTTTTGTTGTTGACGATGATGATGATGTTGTTATCCATGTTTGATCTTTAATAAAAAAAATTACCGTAATTCAGAGTATTTTTTGTGAATTAGTGGCTGGCCTCAGTTAATGGCCTCAGCTTCATTTTATTCCATCACCCCAGAACATTCTCCATGCTCCCTTCTTATTACTTAAATGTGTTCTTTTGTATATATTTATGGATCTTTCAGAGATAGCGATCTTATTCCTGGGGAGAAGTAATTGGTCATATTTAAATAGTTTGAAGAGGAAGTTTGCACAATAAAATAAATGTGGAGAAATTCTTGCACAATTCTTCCAATCACTCCTGCTGTTTGGGCATCCTGCTTCATCATCAGTGTACTAATAATACCTAAAATGGAGATCATATAAGCAATCCCATAGCCTGATTTTGGTGCATAGGTAAGAGTAAGGAGAAGAAGTAGCTTAGGAAGGATCTCACAGGGTAAAGACTAATGCCTGGATTTTGACTCAAGAGAATTAGACAATGTGCATTATGGCATTTTGATTAATTGTTACCAAGGGTGACTGGGTAGTTCTTTTAGGATCATTAGAAATCAAGAGCTTTATTGGACTAATTTTTGGTTATTTATTGGGAATGTGTGGTATTACTTGAAAGTAAAAAATAAACTCAATAAACTCTTATTCCTGCTTATTATGACTTAGTTGTCTCTTCAGTTTTAAGGAGAATTGCAGTTACATTTTTTATATCTGATAAAATTAAAAGACTAAGAAGGTAAGTCAGCAATAATGTTTAGAATTTAACAAATATCGGGTGAAGTTCATCATATGCTAGATCACATTGCCTCAGAGAGAAATTATTCTTTAATAATGTTTTTATTTCTCCTTTTCCATTTCTTAAACTATATAAACAATGAGATCATTTAATACAATACATACAACATGCAGTATACCCAAATGCCAGAAGAAATTTCTGATTTATTCAATATTTAGCTTACATAGCCCCATCCCTATAAATGACCCAGATTTGTGAGTGTTAAATAAATAAAAAGTCATGGAAACAAAACTTTTTACTCCCACTCCTGTCTTAACATAACATGTTTTAAGCTGGGTTAGCTAAATTCTATCAGTGAACAACTGCTACATTCAATTTGAATTATTTAACTGTCTAAAATATTTATATTTACTTTCTCCATATTATTAACTCAGTTGAATGAAAATATTGATTCAGTTTTAATTGTTTTTCCTCTTTGTGTTTTATTTCTTCAGATTTTTTTTTCCATCTGTATTACTTTCTGGGGAATAAGAAGCATGAAACAACTTGCCTCTGGCCTTTGGAAATAAGTTTGTATGCATTTCTCTTGCTTTAATTAGTTGTCTACAGCCACAGTATATTGCTACTGACTATAAAAAACAATTATATAATAATTATATAAACCATTTATTTAATGAAAGGTAAATATACCTATTTATTCTTGATTGATTTCTACATTTATTATTTTCTATTAAAATTAAAGTCAGTTGCAGTCACTTTCCTTTATTGCTATGACTGAGAACAAATTATTTCAAATAAATGATGTTCTATCCACTGATAGCATCTAAGCCAATGAGAATAAAAGGGAGAAAACTTTAAAATAATAAAAAGAATGATTCCGTTTGTATCAATTTGACAATATTTCCTTTGCTGTTTGCTAAAATAGTATTTATGTTATGTGCTATTGAGTTGGCTTCAACTCCTATCCACCATGTCCTGTCCTCAACAGCCCTGCTCAGCTCCTGTAGACTCGTGCCTATGACTTCTTGTATAGAGTCAATCTGTCTCAGATTTGGTCTTCTTTTCCTGCTGCCTTCTATTTTTCCCCAAAGTATTATCTTTTCCAAAGAACCCTGCTTTCTCATGACGTGCTCAAAGTAGGACAGCTTCGGTTCTGTCATTTTTGCCTCTAGAGATGTTTCAGGCTTAATTTGCTCTAGGACCCACTTGTTCATGTTTCTGTCAGCCCAGGGTATCTATAGAGCTCTCCTCTGGCCTCATATTTCAAAAGGATCATTGTCTTTCCTATCAGCCTTCTTCACTGTCTAACTTTCACATTCACACACAGTAATTGGTAATAATAAGGTGTGGATGATCTTAGCTTTGGTCTGTCACGATATCTTTGCTCTCATTTATCTTTTCTAATTCTTCCATTGCTATCCTGAGTCTCAACCTTCTCTTGGTTTCTTGGCTGCAGTTTCCATTTGAATGGATGACTGAAACAAAGCAAGCAAAATCTTTAACAATATTGATGTTTTCATTGTCTATTTTAAAGTCGTATATTTTTTCCATAGTCATGATTTTTGTCATCTTAATGGTTAAATGCGATTTTGCCTTGGCACTTTCTTCTTTCATCAGAAGGCATTTCAGATCATTACTACTTTCTGCCAGCAAGACGGTGTTATCTGCAAATCTTGTTATTGATATTTCTTCCACCAATTTTCACTCTTCCTTCCTCTGAATCTATCCCAGTTTTTCATGTAATATGTTCTAAGTACAGATTAAACAAATAGGGAGATAAAATGCACCGTAGTCTGACATCTTTGCTATATGACACCATTCCGCTAAAAATGTGCTTAGATACATGTCATCATAAAAAAAATGCATTGCATTAGTTGCTCGACCAAGATTATATTTACCTTAAAAAACCACATAACCTAAGGAGCTGCATTACAGAAAAAGACATTGCTGAAATGAAAATGAATAGAATTTGTCAGAATTAGTTTATTCAACAGATTAATTTGTGATACATATGTCTAATATGTTTGGTCAATTTGCTTTGGCAGATTGAGGATCATGCAGTGATTCTGTGTTATTTTAAATTGTCACTATAATGTTAATAAAAAGCTCTAAATAAAATCGCCCCAGGCATTGCGTGTATATTATTCATTGGGGTTATAAAAATCTTCCAAGTGTTTTATTATGAGGGAACTGACAGGGATAAGCAGAATAAGGTTCAAAGGGGGAAAGACTGAAAATGGTTGAATTTTTTTTCTTCCCTTCTTTCACTATTTCTTAGATTTAAAGTTATAATTTAAGTGATCAAAGTTACAAGCACTAAATCAATTAATGTTGTCCCTCATTGAGCTTTGCCTTTATTCGTTGCCAGATTAAAAACACCAATTAGTTGGTTAACTTCATTTTAAACATTTTATTTAATCTTTGAACAGGGGAAAAAATGTGGAACTATTAAAAGAATCAGACTGCAGGTTTCTGTGTAGACTCATGACACAGAATTGAAGCACATTTATTTTTCAAACTGGAAATGCAGAGGAAGATTAAATTTTGCATATTGGAACAATTAACAAATTATCTCTCAAGCGTCAGAAGTAGGGACTTGGCTTTGCTTCTTTCATCTTTTTATACTTCTTAATTTAACACAGAATAGAGAGAATACTTAAGCCCATAACAAATATTAAACCCTACTTTTGTTCCTACCAATAGTTTTTGCTTGACTTCACATACACAGAATCACATTAAAGTGAGGGGGCCCTCTGCTTGCTTGAAACAGCTAAGTTTTTAGCCTAAAACTTCTGAATACTCATTTTCTACATCCTAAAGACTCTTTAGTCTATAGGTTACATCCTTCAGAAATGGCAGAGAGAAGTTTCACAAATCTTTAAAGTAGGTTTTTAGAATGAACTATATCAGAATAGTTTAATGGTTTCCCCATGTCATGTATAAATATGTATAAATACTTAAGTATATGTGAATTTATAGGCATGGCCTCAGAATGAGCTTAATAATGGAAATGAAGAATTCAAAAATGATGAAAGATACTTTTATGGTAAAGTTCAATTTTCCTTAAGTAAACTCAAATTTATCTATTCTCTTTTTTCTCTCTCAGATACCTTTGCTGGTTATAAATGGTTTTCTTTTAGAAATGTAGACATTTTCAAGTTACAGATTTTCAAGCCTTTGAAAGTGGAAGTGATTCCCAAATAAGTCGTGTTCCCAGGTTCTGTGTGTTAACCACGGCATTTTATTCTTCACCTTCAACCTTGCTAATTTTCCAGTCCAGTTTTCTCTTGCCAAGCACTAATAGTTGATGACAGATCGTATAACTATTATTAATGTTGTAAATTGATCTTGAGTGATGCCATGTAATTTATGCTTACTCTTGACTGGAAGCACTTTAACTCTCTCATTCTTTCAAGAGGAAAAGCATTAAAAATGACTCATGAATTACTCACCACTTCTAATGGAGAGATGCAAACTGACTTTGCAAATAATTATGAAGATCCTCAGGTTTGTTAATCTACCATAAGGAAGGACAGAGAGAGGGAAGGAACATTTATTTATTGAGTAGTACTCAATTAGCATTATTTCATTTAGTTTCTAAAATGCTAGGAATTAAGTACTGCTAATATTTTACAGAAGAGAATTCTGAGGCTGACAGGGCTAAAAAAACTTGCTTAGGACTATGATACATAGCTGGTGGCTAAAATAAAAATTTTAACTCTGAAGTTTGACATCAAAGTTTCTCCATTCCATAATGTTAGATATTCAAGGCAAATCTTTAAAAGTATGTAGGCTCAGAAATGTAAGTTTGGGGTACTTCCTATTCAATATGATGCTCCAAAGTACAAAATAAAGTTTAGAGGATAAGTGCTTTAGTTATAGGATGGATTGGTTCACTAGGTGAATGAGTACAGAACTTCTAAACTTTCTAAGAATGATAAGGCTCTAGTTTTATTTATAGAACTGTCATATGTCTAAAATCTTATTCCTATACTTGATTTGTTAGAATTGCCTATTACTTTAGATCTATTTGTGGGTCATTTACTTCCCTTTAATCTGTTCTTTCTAATTATTTTTATTCGACTTATTCTCATCATCTCATGGCCATGATATTCAGCAATGTGTGGATCTTTAATTGTGTACCTGAAATTCAGTTAATCACCAAAGTATATGAACCCTTGTTAAATTTAGCATTGCTAGTTTACATTATTGTTTATTAGAGATTCTCAAATTTCACTTTATTGGTAGTATACAATTCAATCATTCAGTGTAGAATCTTTGATTTGAGTGAAAATCTTTCTAAGGTATACATGATGATGGACAGAAATGTGATTTATCAGGGAGAACAAAATTAGTTAGAAAATGAGCTCCCTTTTTTATGCTGCTTTCTCTATTGTTTTTTCTTATTTGTAGCTTCTAGAATTCCAAGAAAAGACCAAAAACACAGAGGCTAGTTTGCCTTTCAGAATCTTAAAATATTTTTGATGCCATGACTTTCAGTAGCACTATGGAAGCAAGTAGCTCCATTTTTTAAATTTAACAGAAAATGTTCTATCTATTGTTAAAGTAGTTTTTCAAGTCTCCAGTCTGCCACCCTTTCTTCTCAATAAAGTAACAAATTAAACTCCTCTCTTCCCAAAGATTTTATTAGAAAAAGGTATTAGCCAAAGAAACAAATAAGCAAGCAAGCATTGATTTTCTTTTGTGGGTTGTGTCTTCCTTTGGAATTTCAGTCAAAATTTTTAACCATTCCAAAAATCTCAGTATCCAACAATCATAAATTCATTCCTTGGGTGTCTTCTCCCTTCGTTTTAGCAGCAATGTATCCACAATTCTAACTTGTGTGTTTACATTACAGAAAACAAGAGAAGCAGATTTTACCTTTACACATCGGGATTATCTGTGGATCTATTTAAAAATGTAAATTCCTGGTAGGAACATTGGAATTCTAATTTAGTAAGAGCACAAGCCTCAAAACCCAGCCTGGTCATTGGTTGTCTCAAGTTCTTCATCAAAAAAAAATGTGAGGAGGCAGGAGGGGGAAAATAAAAAAAAGTAAAATGTTAAAAAAAATATGTATCTATAGTATGAAAAATAAATAAATAAACTGGCATTTTAAAAAAAAATGTGAGCACTGGACCTGACCCTGTCTTCGGCCCCTTAAAACTCTGACCTTCCAATGAGCAGGTTATCCAAATTATTTCTATATTTTAAAGTAGTATAACTATATTTCTTTTAATACTATGATCAAATTTGGACTCAGATGAATAATGAATTCATGAGATTTTCTTTCAGAGTATGTTCTTTAGAATCAAGTCAATGAGGACAAACTTAGGAAGAAGACAAGGGAACTATTAAGGTATAGTACCCAAAATAAGATCTCCCTCATTCATTTAAGAATCCTAGAACTACTCACAAGTTCTAATTCTTATTTCTTAAACATGCTTCCCTTTCTATTGTCTTGTCTTTGCCCTCCGTCTTTTATTCTACTCCTTCCATTCCTCCCCCCTCCCTTATCTTTCCTACTACAGTTAAGTTAAAGCAGTTTTACATGAATTGTGGTCTACCT